CTAATTGCCTGGGTAATGAGGAAATAGGTGAACCGTAACGCCATCGGATGCATGCGTTGATGATCATACTGAAAAACAGCATAAAACACGATTTAGTAATAAAGAATGCAATGATGATTTGTTCATTACGGTGACTGACTAGTGTGGACGTTTAGGGCCGTGTCTCGAACCTCTTCAAGGTAGGTGTATTATTAAACCGTTTTTAATGCTGTCTTTCAGTATGACTACCAACGCTCGAGCAGAATATTCAATCTCAGCAATGGCGCCGTTAGGTTGTTGCGGTTTTCTGCAAACAAAAGGTCGCCTGTTACAAACACTTTCTTCTAGCATCCACACATGATATAGGGAAGCTGGTGCGCGGAAGGCGATGATCAATTTGATAATCGTATCGTCTGACCTGCGACAATCTGTAATGAATGTTCGCGTTAAGAAAGCCGTAGAGCTGTCAACCCATCATCACCTTGTTGTTGCCACCCTCCGCTGTAAACGATGAGGTATCATGCAAAGACTCGGCGGTAGAAGCAACCAGAGAATAAAAAGGAAAATATCATAAACATCGCATGACGGTTTGAACAGATTCCAGGGATAATCTCTGATATGGAAACAATTAGAAGCTCTTTAAGAGCGGCTTACTTGGAGTTGCCGCCGAATGCTGCGATTTAAAACGGTTTGGTATACAGTCTGGAGGTCAGAAACGAACTTCCTGGTGCACCATACAGGTTCAACGAGAGGAAGCCTGCTTTCAAGAGGTGGTTTGGAAGATAGTATCCTTCAGCTCGAATGCGGTACCAAATGGCGTGCAGGGCGGAGGTGAAAAACGGTGGCCAATACAAAATCTAATTCAGGGGAAAGGTTCAGCGAGGTTCTGGAATAGATTTTTCAGACGGCGCAAGCAAAATATTCTATCAGACCACCCATTTCCTCCAAGATTACAAGAAGGACAGTTTGAGAGTCCTGAATTGTAAATGCGTACGCTTTCTTACCACGGAATAGGACATACTTCGGCGATGACGAGGGCACTTTGAAGAATTCCTTAAAACTCTGAACTCTGAGCCAACGCAGAAAGATACGCATGAAGAACTGCAAGCAAGGGATGTTAATTTTAAGAGTAGATGAAGTCGACAGAAGCCACAAAAGAGTTGGAAAGTGACAAGGCTGTTGAAACCGACGAAATCCGCCCTGAAATGCGTAAAGCTTTCGGCGAACAGTACATGTAGTGGCTTATACGTATGTGTCAAACTGCGGTGGCTGCGGGGAAGACAACATTTGACTGGAGAACGGAGGTGGTATCCCGGCTCATAAAAGAAGACCATACGGAGTGCTCCACTTATTTAAGTATTATCTTTTTGGACATTCCAGGGAAGGTTTACTAAAATGTATTGGAAAGCAGGCCTTGTGGAATAGTTGACTAATATACACAAAAGGCAGAGTAGCCTTAGGTCATGCCGAAGCACCTCTGACCAGATCTTCGCCTTACTCTAGACTGTTGAGAAATCATGGGAGTTCGCTGATCTGGTTTACATGTGCTTTGTAGGCACGGAGAAGCGCTATGACAGGATTCTGCGCAAAAAGCTATGGACGTTCCTAAAACGTAGGGGCTCGGTTTTTAGTTGCTAGAAGTTATTCATGCATTATACGTTGATGGCGGCTGCTGCCTTAGATTGAATGGCGTTAAATCGAGACTTTTCAGCGTTATCACTTATCTGCTGTTTATATTTACATGGATTTCGGGTGCAGTTGGTTGAAATATGCTTCCTAAGACAAATCAGTGACCTCATGCATCTCGAATGAAGCCCAGAAATCTGAGAAGGCGTTTATGTACAGCTGTTTCTGCAGATTGAGAAGTCAGAGGTGTGATAGTTTGGGCACGTTTTGCGTGCTTAAAGAAAGGAATCTGAAACGGCTACTGCTTGTTCAGCCGACGTTCCGAAGACCCTGGGGACAGTAAAGGATGACTGTGGACAAGTGCGTCGAAGGAGTCTGCTTCAAACTCAGAATATCTTCTGCGGCAGCTCAAAGGCCAACGCGTGTTCGGGAACGTTGAAGAAAGAGTCTGAAACTTCTGCCTTTGTGATTCGAAAGGGTTTATGGTCATCGAAACTGTGCAATATTTAACAAATAATGTTAAAACAGCAGTGAAACGATTTTTTGGGTTATGAAAGTAATGAAATTTTTCCTTTTTGTATGCAGCGAAGGTCTCCTCGGCCATTCAGTTACAATTATCGCTTGTTATTTCGGGTCGTCGTAGCAGTAGCTCCAGTCATTGTCTCCTACGTTTACGATCGTCTGAGATTTGGTAGAAGATAATGCGAGTTTGAAGCAAAGTCTGTTGAGGTGTTTGTCTCATTGTATTCTTCTCTGAGATCTGCCCCTATCAGTCGAGGAAATAGCAGTTCTTATACCTTCATTTTCGGAAGTTTGAGAAACGCGCCCAGACAAAAGCAACTGCGAATTCCTGATCTGGAACATCATGGGTTATACACCAAGGCTTTTTCGGATATCTCAGCTCTGCACTCTGTGTAAAGGTGTGACCCCAGCTATATTAAGTGTCACTGACTAAGAAAATACAGTACAGGTATTTCCGCTTCTGGCTTCCGTAACACTGAAAAACGAGTCATCAGACGACCACGTTATTGTTAGTTTATTAGAAAGTTATTTCGCGTGACTGCATTGTTTAAATAAATCATATTCGGGCAGCATCTTGAACACAGGTTGAAGCTGTTTCATTCATCTTTACCTTTTTTTTACACTGAGATTGGCGTTAGATCGTACGTCAACCTATTGAACGAGCGCTGTCGATCATCTTATTGTACAGCCCTTTCGTTGACTTTTGTAATGAGTAGAACTTGTATTGTAATAACAGCTACCATTGTACGCAGCACTTGCGAATGACAAAATTAACATTCACTGTAGTATACCTGTATTGCGACATATCTGTATAATATAAAACTGTCAGATCAAAAATTTCATGTACTGTTTAAAGCTGTTTCCTTTCCTACATAGGCAGTTGTATACTGTACAGGACAGGATAATTTTTATAATAAATAGTAGGTATCATGCGTGTGCTCATTTAAGAAAGCTAGGATCTTCAAAATTTTTAGTGAGAAATAAGGTGTTAACTGAGCGAATCATTTCAAGCATTTTGTATTATATTTAAGTATAACGGTATGGTCAGTTTTGCGAAAAATTGATTTTGTTGTTAATTAAATAGATCTTCGTACGCGTGAATCTTGTTACCTACGAACGACTTTACGTAGCTCTCCATCAGAACAGAATGCCCAGCAGATGAATATGAGCTCAGTGCTGTAGGTTGCTTAAAGTTAAATTTGTTCAGTTGTCTTTGATTATTCTTTTGCATACGTACTTGTTAATTCTAGGCCTATTTAATGTCTGTCACTCGTAATATTGTTTGTCAATTTATGAATTGTTTAGTGTATACACGAACCGGCATCCATGGATATTTCCAGCATGATTTCTGATACGGTGGGATGCAGAAATAGATTGTATCTTATATTTAACGCTTTTCTTCAGAATGACCTGTCGAAAAAAAATGATATGACGGAAGAAGAAATGCTTAAGATAATCGAACGAGAATCTACGCAGGATTATGATCCGTCGAAGTATGAAGCGCTGTTTCTGCGGTGATAATTTTTCCGTAATCCTCTTGTTATTTTCAAGGTATCAGCGGCGCAATGCAGTGATGACCGGTCAGCCACCTCCAAGCTACTCATGTAATCGTTGCGGCTTGACAGGTCATTGGATCAAAAGTTGCCCAACGGTAAATTATGCCAGGATTATACTGCTGTTCTGTTTTCGATCGTTAAGCTTTTTGTTAATATAAACAACTCACTTTAGTTTATGGCTCTCGGCATTCAGGTCAGTTTGACTGCAGAAAATTTTTGGGATGTTAACTTATCGCTGGAGCTTCCATATTTAGTCATACCTGATATCTGTTATGAAGTTCTTCTAAACCCGTATACGAAGATTGGACTGGCTTCTAAAGCGAGAACGCACAATTATGCTGCTGACCTCTAGGGCTAAATGTTTGGATTTTATGTGATAACCGCCCTATTCTTCGACAAAAATAATCAGTGTTTTTGATCCTCAATACTTGCTAACGGCAGTAGTTTCGTTGTCCTTTCAGCAGCCAAAATCGTTCGATGTTCTCCAAGGTATCGTCGGAAGAATTATTGCCATTTCGCTTGCTAAGTTACAGCGCGCGCCCAAATATGTTGCCATACTGCTTCTTTCGACACTTTCACTACGATTTCTTTGGGCGTAATTTCGCCGTTTAATCGTTCTTGCACGTTTGCTGAAATGGGTAATGTCGCGATCTTGAAGGATGGCAGAGGTGGTTTCCTTTTCGGCAGCTGCTTGAACCAATGCCGTGAAACGCATAATGAATACCAAAAATAACGAAATCAAATTAATGACAGTTAGACCCAGTAATGCGTCAAAATTAAACTAACAAATTGTGTACAACTTTAACAGTTTTGTTTCTTCTCGATACATGACTCTTGAGACATGAAAGTGATGTAGAAATTTAATTTGCGTTGCGTTAGAGTACAGTTCGAACATTATCCGCTAAAAAGAAGTTCAAGAACGATTTATTAATGTAAACAAACTGTCAAAAATTAGCATTTTAAAGAACGACATGGATGCGAATAATGCTCATGCTTAACGCTTAAAACTTGATTTACACTTTGCCTAGTAGTATGGCATATGGAAAATTGAAACCTTTACCTGATTGCTTAATTTTCATGATTTTAGTACAAAATACGACAAGACGTTTGCTTGAGCGAGAAAGTCCTCTCTAAGTACAGGACAGCACCTTTGTATTTATCATTAAGATTTGTTCTTTAAAGGCATCGCGTTTAAACATTTTTTGTTAAGATTAGTGGCATTTAACAGAGATGATAGCGTTTTCTCTCTCCATTTTGGCGAAACATTAATCTCCTCGCAGGCATGGAGACAGTTGATCGCATATTGATCATGTATTATTATTGCATCACTATTTGTCTGAATTGATGAAAACTGGAAACATTAGCTGCACCAGATATCGCGGTGTGTAATAAGGCAGCATGTATTTTATTCATGAATTTTACTCATCTCGCAGTTTAAGTGCCGCGACGTTTTTACAGAATAATTTATGAAAATGAAAAGCGGCGGAACACGGCTGACGCAGCTGGAAGTCGCGCATTGAGGCGGCAGCCGCGAATGCTGTAAAGCAAGCCACTAATAGAATAGAACACGATGTTTACACTGCTGTTGTGCAATGGCGTTTTGCTTGTTTTTTCATTTTCCTTGGCCGCGTCGCTTTTCGGGTGACGGAGACAGACATGTCAGACAGTGTTTCCATCGTTCCCGATCCTGTGCCAGAGACTGAGCTTCGGCGGAAGACAGCTGGAGTCTGGAATAGACTCCTTCCATATATTTGCACCAGGTTAATCTTGGCTGATCCCTGGGCCTTCTGCCGGTCGGTTTGGCAAGAAGGAGTTGCTTAGCCTTTCTGGAAAAATTGCAACACATGCCCAGACCACCGCAGCTGTACTTTTCAATCTGGAGAAGCAGAAGTTGTACACTAAGGCTATTCCGGATGTTTGCTTGTTTCTGTAGGACCGATATGGATGTATTGACAATTCCATGAAATAACGTACATCTGGCACAACGCAGGATAATTCTTTATTTAGTAAGATAATATTTCTGTGTCGATGTTTCGGTGTGCATCGCATATGCATTCTTCAAAAGTGGCGTTTGCTGTTGAAAACTATTGAGCGCAGATGACGTTTTTATCCAAAAGTAGCGACCGTTAACTTTACGTTGAAATAGACTCAGGAGATATGAGATCCAACATGGCGATGAATCAAAATTATGAAGGTATTTTACATATTATGGGTGGCAGTGTATTTTCATCGAGACTAGCGTTGCGTAATGAGTGTATTTAATTCTATTTGACGTAAATAATTACGACGTTTTTCAGGGAAATAAAATGGCGTTTAAATTCTGACCGAACATAAGTATTTATTGCGGCATTTTTTCTGCTACTTTGTATCTATGAGCATTATGGTAGTCTTCCCTCAAATCGTACTCAGTTTTAACCGCATTTTTAACTGTAGTTGAATATGAAAAGAACGACGGGAATTCCGAAAGATGAATTAATCGAGACGACGCCGGATGACCCGCAAGCAATGTTAACTTCTAGTGGAACTTTTGCAGTTCCAATAATGCATAAGTATTGACGACCGAAATAGATCGCATATAACATTTACTTACCCGAGTGCATTTTTAGGCAGGCATATCTTATTGGCAAGAAGGAAAAGCCACCTTTTGTTGAAGAAGATGTGTCCGTAGTTGAACCGGAACAGAAGCGTGAAATACCTCCTGAATTGTTGTGTACTTTGTGTAGCGATTTACTCAAAGATGCTGTCTTGATACCATGTTGTGGCTATAGTTTTTGCGACGAATGTATTCGAAATCAGTTGCTTGGTATGAAAATTAAATTTCAGTTTAATGTCATCATTAGTGATTGCAATGCGGTACCATTGTGTGTGCGTGCTGAGGATCTTTCGCACCCTAAGGTGGTGCAGTTAACATTAATGTAGTTTCGTATTTTGCCTTACTTGAAGCGATGTTTTAATCTGGCGAGGTTTTCCTGGAGAGGAGTTAGTGAAAGGGCTGTTGTTGGCGGGAATAGTTGTGGAATATCTTAGCAGTATAATTATCTACTAAGGTTAAACATTTTAGCTTTAAGGTTTTCAGGAATTTTCAATAGTTCCCTCAGAGATGTTAAGTGTTTCTTTGCTCTGTTTGTGTGTATATCACTGAAATTCGCTGACGTGTCCACTATAGAATCGGATAATCATGAATGCCCTAACTGTCATGAAAAAGGTATTAGTCCAGTGTCACTTATTCCAAACGGTAAGCTGCGACAGGCTGTGGACAGTTACCAGAACGAATCCAGTTACTCGCACGCGCGTTCCAATCTGCCGCTAAGTGACGAGTCGAACAGCCACGTAGCTAATCCGACCATCAGCGGAATAAGGTAGTGTTGTTTAATGCTGTTACTGTCATTAATAATTTTCGCTTGGACCATTTTAGAATCAAACTGTCTGGTACCACCGGCAAAGTCGAACACAATGCCCTACATATGGTTGCGATTACGACCTCTTCGAAAGCGTCCAGTGTGACTAAAGCTGAATCTACAACTGTAGGCGACGAAGATAAAGACATATTTGACAATAAGGCATCGCAACTTCGCGCGTATCGTCCGGCAGCGTTTCCATGGGCCACCACTGCAATCACACAGCCATCGACCAGCGCAGCCGTTAGCAGCTCTGCAGCCACGTGAGTACCGTCGACTTTCTCGTTGGCATTTCATTTCTGTGTTAATACTGTTGAGCATGGAAAACTTGTAATTCGGTTGTAGGCATGAAGCTGATGGCTGTTGTGCAGTATAGGCTTCGTGCAATTTATTACATATCTGAGCATTTCTGTTAACATGTTTAATTGAATTAAAAATTAAAATTAGCTGATTGATGTTTTCGGTCAGCCTTCTTCCAACTTAAAATGTTAAAAGATTTAAACAATCAGTAGTTACAGTCTTGTACTAAACCTTAAGCAAATGCAACTGATCACCGTGGCATAAAGTTTGTTGCCGCATTTGTATGCTGCATAGCTGTACTCGTTTATGGGACAAAATTCTGGTTTTTAGGATACCCTTGTGAATATTTGTTGTTTCATGATTGATTCTCGATTAGACTGCAGCCTTTGATCTCCATTTTCGTTTAATGAAAGAAGCAACCGGCGTGGTGTATCTGTTCGTTTGGTTGCCATTTATTGATATGGTGGTTACATTTGCTCTCCCGACTTTGGTCGAATTCGATGTTGCTACTAAGCACTGCTAACGTTATTGATTTATCGCTGATTACGATTTGTATTCTTTACGCTTACATGCAGAAGCGTTGGTTGAAATACTGAAATATGGTTC